AATCACAGCACTAAAAAATAGCACAAAGTGCTGACTGTGATAATTTAGAAGAGAATTTAGAAAAGTTTTGAAATTAAAATAAAGATGGACAAAAGCATTTTTTACCATATTATTTTAGTAAGAGTTCTATTGTTTCTTCCACAGGTGGCACCAGCAATAAATTTATATGGTCAGGAGCATATATCCAGAGAGTCTATGTCTCACCCTAAGAAAGAACTGAAAACTTCAGTAGTTTATTCTGAAACTATTGCATACTGAAGAATTCAGCTCAGCCAAAGTAACTTGAAAATATTTTGGAGAGGTTTCAGATAGGCAATTTTAAAGTAGTCAGCAACATGTATTTTTTCCAAGTTTGGTCAGCCAAGAAATACAAAACATTAATTGTAATAGATGGAAAAAATTTAAATGTTGTCAACTTTAATGACGTTTGTAATTACTATGCATGAACTTTGTTTTTCTCTGTGATCAGATCACTCCAGTAAATTAACATTTTCTATATTTCATGAATTAAAAAGAAAGATTCTACAAAGAAAATACTGAATGTTAACTCTACTATGCTGCACACATTATCTACCTGAAAAGGAAAAGACTGATCAAATTTTAGCAATGTACAGAAACAACTACAAAATTACCCCTAACGTTATCAATTACCTCTTCTTCAGCTTCATACGCATTATGTGACCATTCTAACATTACACTGGAACTGTCCACCTAATAAATCCCTTTTTTATTTTGAACTTATGTTTGCTTTATCAGTTGTTTGTTTTTTTTTAAAACTGTACCTGCATTCATTTGCAGAGTGGTTTTACGAAACTATTTAAATATTTACATCAAAGTGTCTAAACATCAAAACCAACACTGTTGACAGGATTTATTGTAAAAATGATTTATTGGTAGGAAGGAAGGAAAAGTCAGTGCCACACTTGGCAGATATTTTCTTTACATCTAACCTTCCCAACAATGTATACTTTTCTTTTGCCACCTAATTGCTAATTCTTTTACGCTGAAATATTTTAAGTAAACCTGATAGTGCCTTCAGTGAAACTAGAGGTCACCCCACACCTCTTACGCGCAAAATTATAAAAGATGCACATGAATGTCCCCTAGTATGGTTGTACATTCTGGTTAATTCCCAATCTACCACTCTCATAAACCCTTAATTTTAATTTTGTCAAACTTCACGACTGATTTTTTAAAAAAACTTGAAAATGTATTCATTAAGATATTTCAACTGCTTTGATAACTTCTTAAATTTATAAATATGACTTTCAGATGTTTAGCAGCTGACTGACGCAATCACCAGTTTTCAAAGAACTGACATTGATCATTTATCCGCTATTTGTAACAGTTTAGCAAGACTCTTTTCCTACACAGTATTTGAGTTATTTTTCCAATATATATATAATTACAAATTTTTGCTATGTGCTACCACTTTCTCTGGTAGTTATCTGATGCTTTTTTTTTTCCTTAACTAGATTTAATGCTCATTATAAGCCTTTCTATATGCATGGCATACAACACTGATAAGTGTATTAACTACTAGTAAATGTTATATGTTAGCTCTCATATACAACTCTTTATTTTAAAAGCCATACTGCAGAAGTGGCAGTTGCACACAATTTTGTGTATATAATATTGATACTTGTACAAAAGAGAAATTTTGCTTGTTTAAAATTAGTAATGGTAGGAGAGGGATCATAAAAGCTTTATCATACATATGATCTGGGATCTACTTTCAGGATTGCTAAAGGAATCCTTTGCAATCTTCAAAAAGCATCTTGACTACACCGTCTTCATTTCCCTTTCTGTACTCATACTGCAGGATCTTTACATGGATTTCAAACATGCTCACATTCTCATGCGACATTTAATGTTTAAAAGAAAAAAGATATTGCAATCACTATGTGTTAGGTCACCGTCTTATTTCCTCCCAGTCATGCATCAGGGAAGCAGTTGTACGGCTGCATACCCCTAGGGGCACTCAGTCGAAAGCCCTGAGGGCTCTGCCCAAGTCCAGAGCTCACTTTCAGCAGATGAGATTTAGTTCCACAGAACTTCAAATGCAAGCACAAACATACGGGCTTTTCTAACTTAAACCCAGCTACTACAGAGCTCTAACAGCTGAACAAAGAAGTATTTTTATGCAGAATTTCATTGCTATACAGATACTGAAGAACGTCACTAAAATGTGAGAACTAATTTTATAAGGTCATTAACCATAACATACAAGTTAAATACAATATTAACATTGAATGTATCAGAACTGTGAAAACAAATTGAAAGATCTGATTGTGGGATATTGTATAAGCTGTTTTTACAATATGTTGACATCTTGAGGTCAGTAAGTCTCTATGAGTAGGCTGTAGTATCCCCAAATGACAATATGACTATGCTCCCTTTTCCTCCTCTTCTAGTTCTTCATTGAATAAGAAAAATATATGAGTAAGCACACAGCTTTCCTAAAAGAAACAATACATCTTTGTAAACAAGCCTTTTACTTATATCTTCTTTATAAAAGAAGGAATGGTTAAAAAAAATAGTTTCCAGGAAACGCAAAGTTGAAAAAAATTATAGTTTCACAGAGATGGTAACTTGTATTAAGAATGACAGTATGTCCCTGAAGTCTTGTTCAAAGACAGAATGCAAATTAAGAGACTCTTCCCAATAAATTCCATAAAATTATTTACCTCTACATGGGAAGAAACAAAGAAGGTGACTTAAAAGCTTTGAAAAAACTTTTTATTAGTCTGTTTAAGGGGGAGTTCTGGCATGGGAGAAGAGAACAGCTCCATTAGAGAACCAAAAATATCAAGATTGTGAGAACTTCTGTTTGGCATTATTCCCAGAGCACAAAGCCACACACAAATAAATTCCTTACCATAGGCTTTATCCCAACCAGGGGGATTCTTTTCTCTCACTAGGATCTTTCCTTCAAATCTGGGTTTGACAAAATTCAAATGACTTCTTACTTTCATAAATGGTTTAAATTACTTCATCAGTTTAAAACAAACAAAAGACTTTGGTTAAATGTATTTATCTTTTATCTGTCACTATGATTAGCAAATTAGATCATTCCTACCAAAAGTTATTAGGAAAAACTAATTTTTTTTGTTTCTTTTTCAGTTTGCATTATGTCTAATATGACTAATATTAGACTAAAACTACAATTTTATTTTTGTAGCTGTGATTAAGGTAAAATACAAGAAGGAGGAGAAAAGCCTAAGATAAGTGGCAGAACAAAGGGAGAGGGAAAACACACTTATAAATCCAAATGAATTTCAGATGGCAGGAGCAGGAGTAGCTCTTGAATGTGCTTTTGACTTAATTTTCCATAGCATGCCCTTTAAAACTGTTTACGCTTCAGCAGTAAGTATGCAGAAAACAGAATCATTTTCCCCAAGTTGTCACAAAAGCAATATATACAATTATACAATAATTATAATTGTATACTTGTAATAATAAGTTATACAATTGCTGCATCTCCCCCTCTTCATCTTAGAACAAATACAACAGCAACAATTCCTTCCAAATAATATACTTCAAAAATACAATAATGAACTAATGAGTACCAATGTAGCGCTTTTGGCTGGGACTGACTTTATTTTCTCCATAGTAGCTGGTATGGCGCTATGTTTTGGATTTAAGATGAAAACTGTGCTGATAACATGGGGATATTTTAGTTATTGCTGAACAATGCTTGCAAAGCATTAAGGTGTTTTCTGCTTCTTTCAGTACCCCAACCAGCAAGTAGGCTGAGGGTGCACTAGTTGGGAGGGAACCCTAGCTAACCAAAGGGATATCCCATACCATATGGCACTGTGATCAGCAATAAAAGCTAAAAGGTAGGGGAAGGAGGAAGGGGAAGGACATTGGTATGTTATATGTCTTCCTAAGTAACTGCTATGTGTGATGGTGCCCTGCTTCCCCAGAAATGGCTGAACACCTGCCTGTTGATGGGAAGTAGTGAATTAATCCCTTATTTTGCTTTGTTTGCGTGTGCAAAGTTTGCTTTGCCTATTAAACTGTTTCTGTCTCAACCCATGAGTTTTGTCACTTTTACCTTTCCTCTTCCCTCCCCATTCTGCTAAGGGTGAGTGAGACAGTGGCTGACTGCGGCTGAGCTGCCTCCTGGGGTTAAACCACAATGACTGTCATTTCCCTGAAATTTTAAACATGGTTATGAGGCTAGATCTCATGGATACCACTAAAATAAACCCAAACCTCAAGACTGCTAGGGACACCTGCCTCACCTATTTCCAACACACAATTTTTCAAATGAACAGCTGTAGAACAAGATTTTTACATCAGTATTCCTTCAGAATACTACTGCAAATCCATTTACTTTGATCATTTCTAAGAGCTCCATTTAAAAAAAATCATATTGAACACAAGCAACTTCTTTTCACGTGCTAGATCCTGTACATCTTATCCCCTCTTTTAATTTCTCAATCAGTTCTGGAATGTTAAAAGCTGATTCTTCTCTCAAATTGCTCTACAACTCAAACCCCTATCAAATAACAGCTTTTCAAGTAAGAACTACTGTACTTTTTCTCATCTTTAGCCTATGCACAAAAGCATCCCCCCATATACACTCGTACAAACCTTCTCAATTTTTTTATACAAATCTCTACAAACGCCTTGCTAGGATCCCTATAGACACTGAACAGAACACAAATGTTGCCTATCACAGTGACCAATAAAGTCTCATTCTTTTGATAGCCTGCTACATTTATGAAGCTCTCTTCTCACTTTACATTGAATCACAGAATATCTCAAGGTGGAAGAGACCCATAAGGACAATGAAATCCAACTCCTATGCTGCTCATAGGACTACCAAAAACTAAATCATATGACTAGAAGCGTTGTCCAGACACTCCTTGAATTTGGACAAGGTTGGTGCTCTGATCACTTCTCCACGGAGCCTGTTGCAGGGACCAACCACCCTCTCAGTAAAGAGCCTTTTCCTAAGGTCCAGTCTGCATGTTAGATCCAAGATTTTTGGTTTTCAAAATAAAATGAAGACAACTTTCATAACAGTAAAAAAAAGAAATTAAACTGTAATTTTTTTGTTTTTTATCACAATACCTTCTTCCAGGATGGGTCTCAGCACAACAAATGGGATTTCCTGCAATGGTTCCATGTGTTTGTGTCCAGCGCTCACAATCTTGATCTGGGGCAAGCAGACAACAAGTGTGCCAGGCATGCTGGCCTGCCCATGGTACCAGCTTCGCACAGTCCCAGGAATGTCACCCGATACGATAGTACTAGGGGAAGGCAGGCTGTCGTTCGGAAGGAATACACAACAAGACTGCACTTCAAGCTGAAACAACAAAGCCAAGAAAGATTTCTCAGAAACAGTTTATCATTTTTTCCCCTCAGTGTGGAGTATTCATCTTGGTACAAAATCTCAAGTTACTCATCCATCAGAGTTGACTGAAAATAGGCTTAGCCTTTAGTTGAACTAGGAGGAAATATGACACTATGTTAGAAAATAATATATGCTTGCGTATTATTATTATGGGATGGGAGGGAAGAAATGGTGTGATTTTGGTCTGTAAATTTGAACAGAAAGGTGTTGCCATATAAACTGAACATACATCTATCTACATTTCAACAGCTTTTCACAAGAAGCGTAATGGAGTCAGAAAATGTTCTCACAGTAAAGCTGAGAAAGCACTCCTCTCGTGCAGTTCATTAGCTTTTGTTAGCAACAGCTAAGCCTCTAGAACTAACCAACATTTCACTTGCTGTTACTATACATAAAGACTTCTATAAAGACCTATTTCAGGGAAAATTCTGTCTCGACTTCATAGTCAACAGTAACGAGCATGTACAAAAAGGTTAATCATAAGATAAACTGGGAAAAATATAAACTTTGGTGAAAAACTGACCTTAAAGCAAACGGATAGATGCACACATACACAAAGAGAAAGAGAAAGGAATAAAGTTCACAAAGTTTATACAGCTTTTGTCCTGCTTTCATTCCAAATTGGAAATAGTGCATATGGTTTCATATGAAATAGCAGGTTTTTGTTCTTTATTTTCACAGAATCACAGAATGTTAGGAGTTGGAAGGGATCTTGAAAGATCAAGCATTGCTGCTACCCTGACACATTTCTGATCATTCTGCCATTTCCTTATAAGTTCCTATAGCAAGGCTGAGTGAGCCCAAACCAAGAGCTGAACTCATCACAAGCTGTTAAACTCAGAGGAGGTGTAAGTTGCAGACTGACGGTTAGTCTTCTTTGGCTCTTACAAGTAATATTCTGCACCTGGGTATCAAATAGCCCTAACAGACTGTGCACTTGAACGCTTTGTTAAGCAAACACAAGCTATGATTCAATTAAATTCTTCACATTGTTTGGAAAAATGTAGCGAACATTTTGTACACTAGAAGATGTTATTTGTAGCTGTGATAAAAAACATCATTTGTTTGCTGTAAACTTACGTAATAGAGTCTTTCAATTTGACATCATTAAAGACATCACAGCTTAAAACTCATAACCAGGGTTTGTACTCCATGCCCTCCCATGAGGGCTAATAGCCTCTCAAGTCAACAACAGTGATTTTCAATAGCACTGGAATTCCCTAGCACCATAAGTAATTTGCCAGCCTAGTGACAACACAGATATTCATCTTTATTTCAGCATTTTTGTACCCTTTTGATTAGACAAACTGACAAGAATCACTGCAGAAAAATACAAGTAGAATTTTGCAAAAATAAATACATTGTTAAATGAAGTCTGTGTTTGTTTCTAGTTTTAGAACTGTTTGAGTTGTAAAATGAAGTTAATTACATCTTTGATAAGTAGTTTATTGATCCAAGGTTGCAGAGAGTACTTTATTTATACTGGATGAAAAGCAATGGTGTATTGTTACAGATGTAATAGATTTAGATTTTTTTTTTAAACTGCTAAATTAGTCATTGTGTCAATTTGCAATGATTTTTACAGTGACACATTAGATAATTTTCTGGTCTATTAGTAATAGGTTGCAGGTCAAGCCATTGTGAGATAATGATAAATAGATGACAAAAAAACCTTATGATCTTTATAACTTTTGTTTTATCAGTGTATTTGCTGAGTAAACAGTTTATAACAAATCATCCATTCTTCATATATATCCGTGATGATTAACATCAAATGCTGCCTGAATATATAAACCATGTGGTAATAATAATCCAAAAATTCCACCAACTTGGAGAGATACTATACTTCATCACATTACCAGCAGCAGGATCTACGGAAGATGTTTTACATTGAAGAAGAGATCTCAATACTCAGTAGAGTTTTTACACTTAATTTACAGCTCAGTACAGCTTTGAACTGAAGATAAGTTCTTAAGATCACTTTTGTTTTATTTTACTTTCCTGCATCAAGAATACTGAAGTGGAATCACAACAGTTTCACTCCTTCAAATGCCTGAGGGAAATTTCTGTTTACTTAGGCAGCTATCTTGCCATTCATTTTCAAACAACCGAACGGGAGTTGAACCATGAATTTTGGTGAAGTTTACATGATAGCATCAGGCCCTCCTTATGTAACATTATAGATCTGATTACAGGTATGATTTGCTCACTTGTGTTTCATTTAAAGTTTTATATTAATTAATTAATTTTGCAAAATATTATTGCAGGATTTTGAAGGCCAACACAATGAACATATGGCAAAATTCCATGTTTTAGGGCACATTATGCAATTATAATTATACAAGAAACTGTCAACTTGGATGCACAAGGGCCCAATAAACGCAAAATTTAATAAAAATCAATGGAATCTGTGCACATTTATCTGACAGAATCTGGAGAACTATCTAATAACAAGTTCCAGTGAAGGAATGGAAGAGCGCACCTAAAATGATGGAATTACATGTTGGACAAAAGTGAGAATGTGTGCTACAGATTGCTTCACCAATCGGAAAGTGCTTTAAAATATATGTAATACAAATTCTTAAAATTAAACTACATCAATAGCATATATTAAAGCTATCATATAAATCTTTTTACACTTTTTAAATAACTGTTAAACTGTATGTCTAAAATTGTGAAGTTAATGTAAAATGTGACTGATTTATGTAACTGAATATAAATCTGCAGCAGTAAATCTTGCATTAATGTAAGGATCTGACAATCCAAGGGAAAGAAAATGAAGTAATCTGCCAGTAAGAAGTCCTCAAGCTGGGGGTCAGATCCTGTTCATGGAAACCATCTGGTTGGGACCCTCCAAGCCACACCAAACACAAATGATCTTTTAAAAAAATATCCTATTCATTAATGCTTCACAGCTGCACTGAGTGTTACTTCATTTTTCCATGGCAACATCCTTTCTGTTTCAAGGATCTTATTTCAGTTTTGGTAGCAACGTGGTCTTTTGCCAATGTTGAACACATTCATGTGTTAAAGAGAAGGAATTATTACAAATTCTTGAAACAGAATCATCCCCTATTTTCATTTCTATTATGTCAAGGCCTATACATGCTAAGCAACATACAGTAATGATAAACCAATGAAGTAAGCAGTATTTTCCCTTCTACTTTTAAAAAGTTATGCCAAGCATATTGCTTTAAGCTTTTATTAATGTATAAGCCTAAGAAGAAGACTTTAAGACTATATGTACTGTTATATAAAATGGAAAGTATTAAGTTTCTGGAATAAATGGAGTATTTTTAATTCTTATTTTATATAAAGAGAATGTTGCTTGATAGAGGGAACAGTGAAATATATACTGCAGAAGAATTAGGTCTTCCTAACTCAGCAGGGTGAGTGGAAGGGAGTGAAACAAAACAAGTGACACGCCATAGTTATCCTATTATTGCAAGTGCAATGAAGAGGGACAGGTTGTACAAGAGTCTTTACAGCCTTTCATGACAGTGATACCACAGGGAGATTCCCTTCCCTACCCCACATTTTGTAGCTATAGAAACCCATTAGAGGCACTGAAGATGACCCACAAGGTGACACTCACATAAAGGTGTCTCCTGGGAACTGGCTTCTCTCCACATTAATCATCCTCCACCATCTGCTCTCAGCAGAAAGGTTAATGTGTTTTTCTGGGAGTTTCAGGTACAGAATATAATCTCACAATGACTCCCAAAACTGCAAAGAAGCAGCTACGCATAAGTGTTCTGGTGTGTTCATCATTATAAACCATACCTCAGCCTCTGACACCAAATTAGACCATCTGCATTTGAGCCAGACACACACTGTTAGAATTTTAAAAAGCAGGCCTGAAATTCATGTTTTGACATTAGACAAAAAGTAATAATGATACAAATGGAAAGCAGAGCACATGAGTAAGAGAACTAAGGGAGCTGGCTACCTGTACATACAAATGAGTATAATAAGGATGAGCTGCACTTTTTTTGACCACTTAAAACACAATGTCTTAGCACTACATAGCATTCCTATTCTTTTCTAAGAAAGTTTGATTCTTAAGTTTTTATTTAGCTATGGAAAATGTCCATTTTTGGTCAGTTTGTGGTAAGTAACCAACTTAAGAAATCATCCTCTCTCATAACTGCTGATAGCTGTGACTGTCAGGCTACAAGTCACAGTAAGACTCTTCCTGAACCATGAATAAAGACCACTGTTCAAGAACAGGAACTCCAGTCAATCTCATCCTCACGTTTCTGTTATTTCAATCAATGACTGAGTTTGACTAAAATTTTGTACAAGTTATAAGCCTTAGAGAATATCTTATTTTCAAGACTTTCAGGAAACAGACTCATTTTTTCAAAGAATTTCAGAGATATTTAAAGGCATGTGGAATATCTGCCTAAGTTTTATATGTAATAATTACACTCTTATTTAGTTGGCATTCGTTGCAACATTACTGATTAATTCATTTGCTTTTAATACAGATCCTTCACTGTTCTCACTGGAATTCAGCATTAACAACCAATTAAAAATAATTGTGTTTATACTGCTCCACGATTTTAGCAACTATTAGTATTAAGAACACGTAAAAAGTATTACTCTTCTACAGAGTGTAATTGCCAAAAGGACTTCAAGGCTGCATATAAAATTCTTCAATAACTAAATAATAAAACCAACTTTTTATAGTTAAGTATGAAAGTCCTTTCACTTAAATGCTAATAGCTTATCAAAACTCCAATGCACAAAATCTTCATGCAATATTCTATGATGAGCAAGCCAGGGCTAGGACGAAGCAAGTACCAGTTTTGGATCCAAAATAAACTTGCCAGTTACTTTGGTTCCAAACACATTTACTTACTCAAGCTTCCACTACAAGAATAATCCTTTGATGATTTTAAGTTACGAAGTTCTGTTTTATCTGACGACAACTACAGACTTTTCTTTTCTATAATTACATTAATAAAAGATCTAGGAACATGAAAACAGCTTTAGAAAAAAATGTACTGTTTAAGTGCTGCAGTATTTAGCCAGACAAAATATTCTAGAAATTTGCATTTTCATGCCAAAAGATCATAGAATAGAATCACAGAATCATTAAGGTTGGAAAAGCCCTCTAAGATCATAAAGTGCAACCATCAATCCAACAAAACCATGCCCACTAAACCATGCCCTGAAGAGCCACGTGTACATGTTTTTTGAACACCTGTAGTGATGGTGACTCCACCACTCCCCTGGGCAGCCTGTTCCATGATAAGAAAATACGGAAGAGACTTATGAATTTAACACATATATTTATATGTTTAATAAAATGTGCGTTATGTTTAATAAAATAAATAAAGTACTTGAATTGAAAAACAGAGTCATAACCCTCATCATCTTATCCGTTATATGTTGCCTTGCACAAATTTCAGTTTTCCCATTTAGGCTGGTATTGAAGGAAAAAAGTTATCTATGTGCATTTGTGACTTTAAAAATACATTTAAATAAAACAGATGTAGGGAATATTTGCAATAATAAAAAGAAAAGCAAGCATATCTATAAATAATTCATATTTCACTAGGAAGGATTACTGCATATTTGTTTGGAAGCACATTCTTGGACTTTTCCTGCAATGTTTCCTTAGAATCTTTTCACTGGTGACATGTAATGTCCTTCTGGCAAGGTATTGCCATGTACTTTACTAAGTATGATCAAAGCATAAGGACGGAACATATCAGAAACGTGTAAGCTGTTGCATTAATTCAAAGGGCCATTTAATTTCAACATAAATAAAAGCTAAAAATATAATTTCTTATTTATAATGATGAAAAATGAAAGCATGAGTACTCTACCAAAAACCTCTGTAAAAAGTAAACAAATCTGGAACCTCAAACAGCAGAAAGAGTATCCAATACAAAAAAAAAATCCTCTGCCAGTATTAGCTCTAATCTGCGAGCATATTGCTAGAGCAGTGATGTATTTACAAATTACTCTGAGAAAACATATGCCTGCCACTGTCATCAGCCTTCACCTCCACAAAAAACCACTAGTTTGAACACAACTTTTTTTCCTATTTGTTAACAGTCAAACTTCATTTTTAGCTGGTCAGTGTCTTAATCATTCTTCAAAACAAATCCACTTTGCTGGTTGCTCATGTTAGAAAGCCCACCTCAAAAAAGGTATAAGCAGAATATCTTAGTCCTGATTCAATTTTCCCCATTCATAAGGGATCCAGCTCTTTGTCATCCTCATACCTCAAACTTCAAGCCTCTTTTATATAGGGCATCTCATTGTGCTACATACCACCCAGACACAAAACAAAAAGGCACTGCTTCCTTTGAACAGCTTACAAATTCTCTCTCTTGACTCCCCTTATGTAGCCATTTTTATCTCCAGTGGTGACAACGTTAAGAAAGAAAGGAAAACAAGCAAAATACTCACAAAGCAGTGATGAAAGAGCTGGCTGAAAACTAAACAGAGTTAATAGAAAGCACCTCCTCAACCTCAGTATGTTCTGCAACCAAGTCAACAAGTCTGAAGTTCTTGCTCAGGCAAAACTTAAACTTTCATACTTTACAATATTTTGAACTCAAAGTACTTTCTGCATGAGAGGAGTAAAAGAGACAGCTTCCAGGAAAAGCATATATATAAAGTAAAAATCTGTTTCTGGTAGGAAAAAGGAACAGCCATTCAAAGATTACTTTCTGTCAGAAATAGCTTTGGTTTGTGTTTTTTTAATTTTATCTTAACACAAAACCAGTTTTGTGACTATATGTTGGTGTTCCAGAAAATACAAATCTCAGAATATACTGTTCAAAATGCAAAGATTATAATAATTCTAAATTATGCTAATTTCTAAGCACACACTTGATGGATACTTGGAAGAACAGAGTCCTAAATCTAGCATTTCTAAGCCATTTAGTATTTGACCATGCAGTTTTAACATTGGACTTCTGACACGGCCTTCTAAATGTGTAGCATGCGTATACACTGCTACATCAAAACTCTGCTTTTACTGATCAACAATCACAATCTAGAGCAGTCCAAGATGAAATGGTTTAATCTGAGTGGACATCTACTTATCCTTTATGAAAAGGCACACAAGTAAGCAGCTGAGCCATCACTGTATAACATCATTTTGTATCATACACCTCAAGAAAGTATTTGGCATACACAGTTTCCTCAAATACTTTTAGAAAGGAAGGTATTCTTCAAATCTAACTATGGATAAAAAGGTATATAGCTATGCTTATAATACGGAAAAGTGTGACATATACTTTTTCTTCATATATTTTTTTAAGGATCTTCCTTACTCTTAGATATAAAAAAGTATTTTGAAAAATAATATTCTAAAATCAAAGTGTTCTTTGCTTAATTTACCAAAAATAATTTTCTTTTTCTTTCTCTAAGACTTAGAAACTTCTGAAGTAAGACAATAAAACTTGGGAGCTCCTTTAAAAACCCTCTAATAAAAAGCACTAGGATGCATAAAAAGTATCATAAACTTCGGGAAGACATAGTTTTCTCCACTTCCTTTTCATCTTACCTGAAGTGTAAGGCGCTTAACTGCATTCCACACTATTCCAATAAATTCCTTCATTCTTTCTTCAGGACTTCTGCAGCTTTCAGATGAGTTCAGCATGGTTTTCACAGGAAGTGACAGAGGACGAGATTCTAATGCAAACAACAAAACTCAGTTAGAAAGAACATTTAACTAAATAATATACTTAGCAAAGAAAAAGATTACTCATTTCAAATTCTAAAAGAGTTTCTGTCACTAAGCATTTCACAATGTATGCAATAACAGTGTGTCTATTATTAGTTTTAAACTTGGCAATACAACTGTATCAGTTAAGTCTGGTGAAAAATGCAATGAAATGAAATTAAATGCTTAAACTTTTTAAATGTAAACTGCTATGCGAGTATTATGAATACTGCTTGATGTAAGCAAATTAAGACAGTTTTCAAAGTGTGATAACCTATTTGGTGACGGAATAGCAGTCCAAGAGGTTTTCACATACATTGCTGCCAGTGTAATCTAAAAAAGGTTTTTGTTTTCTAAACTCATTGTAAGAAATGAAAGACAGCTCATAATAAATTACACCCTTTGATTTGTTTTCCTTGAAAAATTCACTTAAAAACTTGAGTATGCTTCCCAATAAAAGGCATAAAAATTAAACCATTTTCATACTTTGGTTATAAAATATTAAGTATTTCAACAAAACTCAATGTTTTCTAGCAAAAAATTAAATTTCCTTAAATCATTATTTTATCATATGAATAGTAAAACATTTTAGATGAGAGAAGCATTTAATTGAAGATGAGCATAAGAGAACTTCAAAAGCAGACTAGTGAGGAGATCAAGTAGTAACTACAAATTCATTAAAAACTGTATGATGGTTCCTCATGTCATCTCTTACAGAATATCCTCCTTATGTTTTGGAATACTCACCAAATTATTATCAGCTTCTTTAACATTTCCAGTTTTGACCTACATGTTGCTGAGCTGACAAAACTGCAGGAATAAATTATGAAGTCATCATGACTTCATTTTAAACTCAATTGAAATCAACACAAGTGTGACAATTTGTCTCCAATTACACAGCTAGGAGAAATCTGTGGCATAAAAACTACAAAAAATTCTTAAAACAAAACTATGCTATCAACCAAACTCAGGTGAGCAAAAGCATATATCCTTGATATGCATCGCTGGGTCTTCAGTCAGTTTTGAACATGCAAGGAAACATGCAAGGAATTAAAAATGAAACATCTGAGAGGTGAATTTCTGCCAGGAGCATGCAATGTTAATGCCACTTGAGAAATCAATTTGTGACATATTCCCCATCAAGGCTATAAAAGACCAGAGTTCATGAATATTCTAGACAAAATCCTTCAACAAATAGTATTTTTAATGATCTAAAGAGAAACATAACGTTTATTAAACTTACAGCTATTCAAAAGATACAAAAAGAGAGGTGGTCAAAAGAGTAAAAGAGAATTTTTATGGCTGTAGTAGAATTAATCCTCTCAGACTGGCTCTGTTCCTAGCTCAAATTATGGATCTATTAGAATGATTAAAAATGAAAATTGAATCATGAGAATGTAAAAAAGCGTGACAGACAGTACTGTCTGTTGTCAGCTGTGCTGGAGACACAAACAAGTAAATTGTTCATATGCAGAAACAGCGAGGAGTAACTGTTTAACAATATTTTCTCATGTGGACACTTTATGTCATGCAGTGAGTAGAGTATTCCATCCACATTATGAATGAATCAAGTTAAAACAAAGACATTCAGTGAGGAAAACCTGTTCTGCTTTAACTTCTTACCCTACCTCAGTTCACACCATCTTCTCTGTGTAGTCAAACCCTACACTACACACATTACAAGAAAAGAATTAGGAACAGCTTGAGTACCAAGAAATATTAGAATAAAAGAATTGCTGGAGCAAGGAGCTCCAGAATACAAGTCTGTGTAAGGGTGAGAACAGTACACAAAGTCACTGTGAGACACTGGAAATTTCACAAGCAGGA